AATCGACTTTTGACAAATTGTCCAATAACATCAGCGGACGCTTGTCGATGCTCACCTGAAATATGTCCCAAACCACATGTGTGCTCACGGTATATGTGCTAAGAATAACTTTTCCGACTCCGCCAACCTTCTACAATAAACCCGCTTCTTGCACTTTCGGTCACGACATGCAACCGTCACAGCCAATGAATTTGACTTTTTGTGTGATGAACTCAAAATTACCTTTACAGCAACATTTTTAGCTTCCTCACCACTTCCTCTTTGTTGTCAAATAAATACCCTATGCGCAAGTCCGATCCATCCGTAAAGACATACTGATCCACTACTACCTCCATTGCCCCCTTGAACCTGCATAAACGCCCATAGTGTTCTCTCTTCACAATCTACCCTTCTGCATAATCTGTATTTAAAGGAATCCTACATCTGTGGGAACATCTACGGGGTCCTCCTCCTCAACATTTTCATTCTGCCCCCCATCACCAATCTCTTCTATAGTGTCCTCCTCACCACCCAATTCACCGTCTACTCTTGATTTTTCAGCTAACAAATCAATGGCCTCGTAGTTCAAATTAAAACCAGGCAAATCTCCGCCTCACACCTCGTTATCCCCTTCCTTGGAACCAACTTCCAACGGTTTTTTCTAAATAAAACCCTAAAATCGGCCTCGAACCACTATCGGCCATATCAATCATAAATAACTTCACACTTTCATCCGACTTTAATATAGCAGAGGTACCTTATAATTTTCAGAGCTCTGCTTAAAACATACTTCACACCTATATCACTACACGAGCAACTCAAATTACCTCTCTAATTATTTCATCAATCACTCATCAAAACTAATCTCTGTGCTCACAGCAATTGATAACTCTTTGCTCTCCCAATCCACTTCCACCTACTTTCTTCTCCCCCCACTCACCAAAATATTCAACACCCAAAACAACTTTTCCCATGTAAATAATACCAACTACCTGTAATGCAAGAAAAACAATATCCTTAAATGCTGTACAAGGTTAAATATTTTAAAAAGAATCTGCACATTCGCATATTTGACTGATGTATCGCTTGAACGATCATGGTTATTTATACTGGATCGCTTAACGATCTTATGCCATTTACTGATCGCTTAAGCGATCTGCTCCCATACAACAGACTTTAACCAGATCGCTTAAGCGATCTATCAGCGGCATTACCAACCTACCAGATCGCTTAGGCGATCCATCGTACCCAGAACACATTTTCAGTCATCTCCACCTACAATCGATCCATCATACCCGAATAAATACCCAGAACAAAATTTTCAACAAATTTCACTCTTTTCAACTTGCATTACATCAAACACAACCCAACAACCTAACAACTAAATCAAAATCAAAATCATAACCCAAACCCCATCCATTATTAAATCTTTGTAAATCAATATAAAATGTAAAAAGGAGATACACATACTTAGACGAAATGTCAGGAGGAGGAGGAGGGGGATCTTTGCCGAAAAGATGTTAATGGTGGAGAAGAAGAAAGTGTAATGGCGGAGGAACAAGAAGATATAGAGGAATGAGAAGAGAAGATGTACAGGAAGGAGGAAGAAGAGAAGATGTACAGAAGAAGAAGTGTAGACGAGACAAAAAGAGAAGAAGATGCAGAGGTAGAGATGCGTTAATGGCGGAGAAGAAGAAGGTTTTTGGGTTTATTTGCAACAATTTCGGTGTTGTGGAAATATAGTATAATTTTGAAAAGATTACATTAATCCATTAAGCACTAATTACCCTTAATCAATAATATGGCTATTTAGTTAACATTTTAAAACTTAATAGCCTTTTAATTAAATGTAAACTTCAAATGTCTTTTTAATAAACTCCCCCACCTTTCATTCTGGTTATGTCATCTAGATTGTCACGTGACAATGCAGGTGCCTTTGCTAACTTAACTACGTAACGGTAGGTATGGTTCCGAACCATATCGTTCCCATTGGTTTCCATTTCTTTCTTTTTAATTTTTAATTTTATATTTTTAAAAGGGGAAAAATCTATATCTAGACGAAATTAGTAATTTTTTTTTTTTTGGCAATTTATTAAAATATTATATGAGTATTCTTCACGGTCCACCGAGAAATGGATTCCTGAAAGATTTGCGAATAGCATATTATTTTTGAGTTGTTCCTGAAAATCCACCACTTATCAAATGTGTATGGACATATTCTTTAACCGGTTTTCTGGAAGGTTTGAGCAAAGTTTTAGAAGATTTTGATAGTGAAGTGGAGCTCAGTAAAGGCCTTGTATGGGTTTCCAATAGGAGGAATGGATTCTTTGATTTTGTTGGTTTTTGGGAAAATAGGATATTTCATAAAGGCTATTTATTTTAGAGGTAAAGAAGATCTAATTAGTGAGGTATTTATATAGCTGTAAACGTTATAAAGATGAGAGTTTCAAATTCTGAGTTGAGCCTCTCCGATACTTTCACATGCTTATCTGAGTCAGCTTATTGGTCGCATCTGTCTGAAGAATACGCTTACTTGAAGAAGGATGGTTGTGTAAAGACAAGAAACGCTTCCCTGATGAAGGATTTTTCAATGATTGTGTAAAAAGACTTTGCACTTTAGACTCGTGACTGCATTGGTTTGAGTATTAGACCATTGAGGAGATTTTTCTTAACATCTGAGACAAAGGTAGTAAACCAAGAGATGTTAGAGATAAAACTATGCTAAGTTGATAATTCCCTATTTCTTTTTGAGGTATAATATTTGTGAATTTCTGCAATTCATTAGCAAATTGAGCTTGAAGCTCATTTTGCCATCAACAATGATCATGCCAAAAAATCAATATTTGTCTTTCTCTAGCCTAACTTGATTGTTTTTTTAATTACGAACGTTGTCCGAACTAGCTTGCACGCACCTTAATTAATCCTCCAAAGCTTTAAAACTGCCGGTTGAGTAAGAGCCCCAATGACCACCCCTATTAGTGTTTAGGAGAACTCGAATTTAAAAATTTATAAAACCTCTTTTTACTCTTTTACTATTAGACCACCAAATGATGGTTAGCCTAACCCGATTGGTACTACCGGTAGGCCTGAGTATACTTTAGAAATGATCGGGTGTGTTTGGTAAATTATTTTTGAAAAAGTTGAGTTGAGTTATTATTACAAGAATAAGATTTGAATTTGAAAATGTGTTTGGTAAATTTTTAGAAAACATTTTCTTAAAATATTTAGATTATTTTTAATCTTTTATATTTGTTAACTTAGCTAAACATCCCTATAATAAAACATTGAAAATTAAAAAAAACACCTCCACCCACCCATTGAATCTTGACAGTTGACCACCATCATTGGATGGTAGTCAGAAGTCGCCGGAGTGGTGCACGACTAGTTGGATGTGGCGGTCATGTGCTGATCTGGCTTTTTTTGGCCAGATCCACTCTACATTTGTTAATTTAGCTAAACATCCCTATAATAAAATATTGAAAAATTAACAAAAATACCTCCACCTACCCATTAAATCCCGACAGCCGACCACCATCGCTGGAGGGTGGTCAGAAGTCGTCGGAGTGATGTACGACCGGTTGGATGTGACGATCATGCGCTAATCTGACCTTTTCCAGCCAGATTGGCACACGACTGCCACATCCAACTGGTCGTGTGCCGTTCCGACGACCTTCCGACAGTGGTGAACAACTGACGAGAATATGTGAGTGCATTGAGATGTTTTTGTCAATTTATAAACTTTTATTATTTGAGATGGTTAGTTAAATTAACAAAACTAAAAGGTTAAAAAAATATAAATATCTTGAGTTAAATAGAATAAGATTGAATTTTGAAAATATTGAAACAACTATATATTTTGGGTAAGATTGAATATGATAGGATTGAAAATATTGAAACAAATATAGCCAATACTAAAATAGTACCATCTACTACCGTCTTGTTTCTTTCTTTAAGGGGTGTTTGTCTAAGCTTATAAACTGGTCAAACTAACTTATAAATTNTTTTTACTCTTTTACTATTAGACCACCAAATGATGGTTGGCCTAACTCGATTGGTACTGCCCGCAGGCCTGAGTATACTTTAGAAATGATCGGGTGTATTTGGTAAAGTATTTTTGAAAAAATTGAGTTGAATTATTATTACAAGAATATGATTTAAATTTGAAAATGTGTTTGGTAGATTTTTAGAAAACATTTTCTTAAAATATTTAGATTATTTTTAATCTCTTATATTTGTTAATTTAGCTAAACACCTTTATAATAAAATATTGAAAATTAACAAAAACACCTTCACCCACCCATTAAATCCCGACAGCCTACCACCATCACTGGATGGTAGTCAGAAGTCGTCGGAGTGGTGCACGACCGGCTGGATGTGGCGGTCGTGCGCTGATCTGGCATTTTTTGGCTAGATCCACCATACATTTGTTAATTTAGCTAAACACCCCTATAATAAAACTTTGAAAATTAACAAAAATACTTCCACCCACCCATTAAATCCCGACCACCATCGCTGGAGGGTGGTCAGAAGTCGTCGGAGTGGTGCACGACCAACTGGATGTGACGATCGTGCGCTAATCTGACATTTTCTAGTCAAATTGGCGCACGACCGTCACATCCAACCGGTCGTGTGCCATTTTGACCACCTTCTGATGGTGGTGAATGATTGACGAGAATATATGAGTGGATTAAGATGTTTTTGTCAGCTTATAAATTTTTATTATTTGAGATGGTTAGATAAATTAACAAAGCTAAAGAGTTAAAAAAATCTAAGTATTTTGAGTTAAAAAAAATAGGATTGGATTTTCAAAATATTGAAACAAATATGTATTTTGAGCTTAAATAGGATAGAATTGAAAATATTGAAACAAATACAGCCAATACTAAAATAGTACCATCTACAACCGTCTCGTTAGCCGTTTCTTTCTTTAATATTCAGTTAGCTTTTTATTCTTGAAATGAAGGATTACATTTTTGTCAAGCAAACTGCAAAAACCTAAAGATTGTTCAGAAAAAGACAAGAAAATTGAAATGTAGCTTCATCAATGACAAAAATATACTCTCTGGAGAAAAAACATGGGATCCACTCCTTTGAATTTGATCACGACACCCCATTAACGGGGTAGCTTGGCGTATCAAAGCATGTAATTTCTCAAAATTACAACCAATATTTAAATACAAAATTTCTTACCTCGTAACTTTAAACTTATCCTGCATTTTTAGAATATTATTCAAGTTTCAAAAAAAATCTCCAAATGGTTACAATTCCTGAACATGCTTAGTAATTGCATCTGGGCAAGAATGGGCTTGTAGAAGCTCTAATCTGTTGAATGGCGGAGCAAATTGCAATATGTAATCTTCATCTGAAACCCACACAATCATAAGATAAAAAGGGTACTATTTGTCTGATAATTCATCTTTTTCTTTTCTTAGCAACTAATGCACGAAAATGAAGAACTATAAACTCACTCTCTTTGACTGTTCCATAGAGCCAGCATAATACTTCGTCAGCAAACGCTAAGCATACTCCTCCCTGCCAACCAGGAAATGAAGAGGGTAGTGTTAAGCATTTATCCCCCCACACACAAAAGAGGAAAAGTTATAAAGAAAGTGAAGAATAACTACCACATTCACCTGGTTACAGATGAATCATAAATGATTATAAGTTAAAACCCACAATAAATTCATCAACTGAAAGGGATCCACATTTTAACAATTGTGGAGCCTGAAGCGTAAATATTTGGTTTTAATGCACAGGAATGGTAGCAAAATCACCTGCCAGTAATTCTTCATTTTCACTCTGTGTGTAATATCTTTGGTTCTTAGTCTTTCTGTACGAACTAGTCGACCTGAATCATCCCTGAAAAAAAAGCAAGATAAATGAATGCTTAGAAAAAAGAACATCCTGAAACAGCACCTTGTTAAGTGCATATGCTTCAAAGAAGATGATAAGAGTGTGATAGAGGGGAGGTTGTGATTGGCTTTGCAATAAAACCTAATGCATGGAAAGAAAGTTATTCTTTTCTTTAAAAAAAATAAATTCCCTTTAGCCTTTCTGATTGATTGCAATTCAATGCGGTGTTTCTTGTAAGGAAGCTGGATGCTGAATGAGTATGAGTAAAGATAAAATTACCTAAATCCAACAACAATAAAAGGAACACCAGCCAGGAAAGATTGAATCTGTAACAGATAACACAACCGAGTTATCACTTATAACAAAACATTAGCAGAAAGTTGAATTCATGAAAAGAAAAAATGAAGAAATATGGACTGCAATATTCTGCATGGCAAAAGGGCAATAGCAGAGTCGCATGCATTGCAGAAAACATTAAGCTATTATTTACGATGCTAGAAATATTATCCATTTTACAAATTTCATAACCTCCAAAAGTAAAGCCAAATTTCTGGGTATGATTCTAAACCCTAAACCTTATCAACAAAAAGTAGTCTCAACACCTTCATATGACTTGTTCACCATTTCAGATTATGTTGAGATCCAAATGCAAAGGTGGGACTTGAGAAGAGATGGAAATTATCAGATACTTTATAATATCTTCTAAAATACTAAGTAAAGCAGCTTTCGATTTGCCATAATTAAAGGATCTGCAGTGAATGTCCAATGATGGACTTTTAAGATTCCAAACCTACGTTTTTGAGATCAGATGAAATAAGTCTGGAGTCAATACATTCCTGGAACTTTGCTTAGGGAGGTTAATGAGGTGTGGCTCCTTGAATTTTTAGCTGACAAAGCTTACAAGTTATTCAGTAGTTTTAACAGGCTGCTGACTTTGTGTGCATTTGTTGAACTGTGTGATTATTCTAGATTTTGTTTTAATTGGGTACAAAGTGGTTTCAATGGAAATTTTCTATCAAAACTTAATTTTAAAAGACTACAATTATGAAGAGAATAAAGTATAGACATAGTATCAATACTGTGTTATAACAGGTCAAAATAAGGACATCTACAGAAAGCGCGAAAATGGCAAACAGTCAGTAACCAAATAAAAAGAAACAAATATAATTTCAAGGCCATCATAGGAAACCAAATGTACCCAAAACTTGAGCAGTTTCTCTCTCTCGTATCTTTCCTCAGTATGATACTCCAGCTGCAGTGTCCAAAGACATTTCCAGATTATCAATCACATTAAAATTACAAAACAGAAGAACTAGAAAATGAAACAAAACAAGGATGTGCATAACCTCACGACTGGTCTTTAACTCCACATAAAACTTTCTTCCATCATCAGTTGAGTCGCAGCAATCCATCTCAGCACCCATCAGAAGACGATGAGCCCCTAATTTGGTTTTGATCACAGCACAGAACTCAACATTGGCATCAAGATTATGTATCCCTTCTCCATCAGCTCTTCTTGGATCTTCAGTGGCAAGGCTCTCAAAACAGTATCCCCAGTAACATCTAACCAAAAAATCAACAATTAAATGAAACATTGTTCATGTGAATTGACAGTAGAAACAATGAAAGAAATAATGACCCCATACAGTTAGTTGTAGAAGAAACTCAATACAAACTGAATGTGGTGCAACTAACCACCATTTAGAGCATCTCCAATGGTGCTCTTTAAAAAGCATCTTCATTACATTTAAAGAGTCTATTGGATTTGAATAAAAATTGTGTTCTTTATATTTAAAAATTAATGAAGATGCTTTTTATTTTGAAAAGCATCTTTCATATAAATAGAGAACATCTTCATTAATTTTTAAATATAAAGAATACAATTTTTATTCAAATCCAATAGGCTCTTTAAATGTAATGAAGATGCTCTTTATTTTTAAAAGAGAGACTTAATAAGAGAGAGAATTAATAAATAAAATACATAAGAATTTGTAGTTTATTAATTAAAATTAGGATAGAGAGTGAAATTTGACTTTCTAAATGTGGGGAGCCAAACTCACTCTCCAATTTATATTTTAAAGATAAAGAGCCTATTGGACTCTTGTTTTTATGGATAGATTCTTTGTAATAAAGAGTTTGGATCATATAAAGAGTCATTTGGAGATGCTCTTAGTATCTTAATATCTCCCCAACTTTGAGTCACAAAGCATTTATTTTCAAAGTTAAGTCATATAGTACAGTACCTTCGACGATCCAACTCACTTTTTGGTCTTTCTGGTAATTTATGCACATCAAGATAAACGACCCCATTCCTTTTATGCACACCCATTTCCCAAGGTTCATGTCGAATATAAGCAGTAGCCAGAATCTGCAGAAAGCGAAGAATGAAAAGTTAAATTAAAATAAGATGCCATTCACCTACCAAAATGAGAGCTCAAGGGCTGAATGCAGCATTGATTAACTAACCATGAGACAAAAATGATAAATTGACAATTTATAAAGATATTTTATTAAAAGCAAACGGAAGATAATGTGAGTACATCAAGTTATATGTCTTAACATTTTTCAGTTTCTTATACATTCTGTTCGAAAATTCCTTTTTCACCGGTTCCATGAGCACATAGTCTATTCAGTCTCATCCATATTTTTGAGTGCACACTATTAAATTTTCATTAGTAATGGTCTATTCAATCTCATCCATTTTTATCTTGTACGTAACTGAATATTCATTCCTAATACAAGGATCTCCTAAAAAGCAGTGATTCAATAATCCATGAAAGGTTGGTTAATGCTTGGAGTGAAGTAAATAAACCAGAAAGTTCGAGCCAGGACTGAAAATCATGATTAGTGAAAGATATTCACTAAAATTAATAAAGACAATAAACTGACTGTAAACAAATATCCAGAAGTAACAATTACCTTATTAAGGTTGTTTCGGAAAGTCTGTAAAGAAAACAAAAAGGGAAAAACATTAGTTTATAACCTTAATAAAAGCACGATAGGCACATGAGAGCTAAAGCTATAACCACATTCTGTACCACAAAATGCATGTTCTGAAGTGGGATGTTTTTGTCTCTTATGCAGGCAAGCAAGTCGCCAAAACCCTCAGAGCCCAAGTCTGGTTTAGAGAAAAGAAGAAAAATGAAATGACATCATGCATTAGCCCACATACCATAACCCAAGAAATCCATACATAGATGTAAAAATCATTGTTTTCATATTATCACAATACAAATTCAGTGATGGCAGCCTTCCAGACAACAGGCATACCTTTTTTCTCAATAAAAGTGTCATAACCTTCGTTTAGGTCAGCTCCAACATCTTCAGAGATGAGACGCTTAAAAAGCCTCTAACAAAGTGGAACCAAGTGCGAGACAATGATAAGTAAAAGTTACATAATATTAAAGAATTACAGAAACATGATACAATGAAACCTTTGAGCAAACAGATTCCAGAAAGCTTACCAAGCTGCGGTCATCATTGTAGACTTGCCCACCTTCTACACGACTATAGCAAGCAAGTTCGCATGGCTATTGGATTGAATTACCAATTCAGAAAAAGATAATCAATGAAAAATAACTCAGTACCTAATAGGTTTCTGCCAGGAGTCCACAAGGACAGCCTACCAACAGCACAAATGCATGGTAAAGTTACACAAGATCTACTAGACATATCAACGACATAACCTTCCAATGTAAGTGTAACCCATATGAGAAACCAGATGACACTCCTTGTACCACTCAACTTTCTTGCACTTCTCTGCCTTTCTAAAATAGAATATTATAGCTACAAGGGAAGATTATCGTGTAATCACGTAGATTTGGGGTTATGAAGGTCAGGACAATCATTTGGTAAGACATAACACTTTGTGAAAGACAATGTCTGCTATTGGTAGATCAACCTTGAAAGTACCTGACATATCCTCAGTGAAACAAACAAATAAATAAATAAAGAGGAATGAGTACTTCAATTACCTCTTGAAAAGCAACAACTTTTCTTGATAAAGTTTCTTCACTCCTAGTAAGCTTAAATTCTGAAACAAACCGTTCATCATGACGACCATTTGAAAATTTTGAGCCATAGCCATAACCCTGCCTTTGAGGATATGGTCCTGGTCGGGGAAGAAGGCCTGGTCCTCTATCATTTTGCCAACGACCACGTCCAAACCCCCCTCTACCACCTTGGTTGTTGCTATAGCGTATAACAGGCAACACTACCAAAGAGATTTTGAGGGAAAAAAGCTCAATATATTGGGACAGAAATAAAAATTTTAATAACAAAATGGTAGTTTAAAGAAAGACAACAATTGCATTGGATTATCAGTAGTATAACATGATAAAGAAAAGCCAAAAACCAAACAAAAAAAAAAAAAAAAAAGAAAAAAAATCAAAAGAAGTTGATGTCAAATAAGTTTTAGTCCTCATAAAAGACAATTTCATGCAGTAAATTGCAGCCATAATTGTACTACTGCAAAGTGGAATAAAACGGAACATATGCTCCCCCTTTCAAGTTTTGTGAAAAAACTGCCCAGCTTTCCCAATTTCTCATATTTTCAAGTGTTTTCATGAAGCAAACAACCATGCTCCTTAGAGTTTATTCATTACTCTGATTTAAAACAATAATCTATGACTTTACCAATGGAACAATGTACTAAATGAAGGAAATGCAGGCACAGTAGTTGCTTAAGAAAAGCTTCCTTGAGTTTGAGAAACATAAACAATTCAACTGACAAAAAACAAAACAACTGTAACAGCATTTATTTGTGCTCTTCCATGACCTAACTTCATTCATGTATCAGAATTGTAACGTTTTAACACTCATTTGAAACTTTTAGGAAAAAAATCAAACAAAGACTATATATATTCCATCTCAGTTAAAAGTCAATCTATCAATATGTTGCTTAATAATAGCTTCAGCACTAAACATGGATGACAGAAACCCAAAAACTAATCTATTCTTTTAACATACAAAAAGTCTGCCAATAAGAAAATCAGCACACTTAAACAAAAACCCCAAATTCTTTTTAAGAAAACAACTGAACAACTTAAACGAAACAAAGAAGAGTAATCTAATTAAAACCAGATAGGCATAGCACAATATCCACTACTTAACCTAAACAAAAATAAATGAATAAACAGCCGAAGTTTCAGTGTAATCAACAGAGTAAACAAAGCCCAGTAACGAAATTCCATAAATAAGACAATTAGTTTAAAAAAAGAAAAATGCAATAAAACCCAAATGAGCATACTCCAAAGTTCAATAGCTATCAAAACACAATTAATCAAAATGAAAAAAGAAAGGAGAAAAATAAAATACCAGGTATAGGGAAAGGACTAGTGGCAAGGGTTTTACAGTAATCTTCATTATCAGAGCCAAATAGATCTTTATCATCATCTTCTTCAGAGCCGCCATAAAACCCTCTATCATTATCGTTATTATTATAATCAGAATTGTTGTTGTTATTAATTTTACTAACGTTGTCTACTTCTTCTCCATTCTCTTCTCCGCTACTAGCACTTCCACTGCCACTGGTGGACTGTCTCCCATCACTGCCGTTGGACGACGAAGAAGCTGATGATGAGGACGATCGAGATGAGGAGGCCGATGAGGAGGAAGAGGATGAAGAAGCCGAAGAGTCGTGACCTCCTCCTTCTCCGAAAATATCCACGTCTTGCTCAGAGAAATCCATTGCGTTAGTTTGGTCTCCAGTATGATGGTTCTGGGTTTTGTATAGGTAACCATGGTTGAAGTCGTGACTTCGGCATCGGTGAGTGTCGTCGGTATCTGATTCTTAGCCTTTTTGTTGCGCCCTGGGCTCCCAATTCAGATGGGCTGATAAAAGCCCAATAATTGCAGGGTCTCACACATGATAAGTTATATGGACATTGATGTTGGATAAGATAAGTAGTGTATTTTTTTTTTTTTTTTAAACTTTAATATAAATTAAATATATTATAAACGTTTTTTCCTTTTTTGGCTAAATTTTTATTTTCATATATTCAAGATAGTGTTATTAATTATTTAATTGTTGCATAAAATAAAATTTAGAGATTTGGGATCAGTGATTAATGGATAAATGATAAATTTTATTGCATATATGAATATTTGAGAGTATGTTTGATTAAATGTTTTTTGAGTAAAGAGCTTCCCCAAAAAAAAAAAAAAAGAAGAAGCTGAAAATTTGTTCTAACAACAGCATATGTGATCTGATAATAAATATATATCATTTCTTTAAACAACACTTTTGACTTTTTATTCATTTATTTATTTCTAACTGTTTTGCTATCAATCAAATACTCAAAATAAATATGAAAATAATTATCATAGGAATATTTTATTAAAAGGTCACTATCATGATTTTAATACAAATTTTTTTGGCATTTGATTCTTATAGTTATTTATTACTATTTTAGTTGTAGAAAATCCTGCATATCCATCCATCACTGTTCTGTCCTAGAATTCCGTCGGGTTGAATATTTACTTCTGATCATTTTAGTTTACTATTATGAAGGTAAACGAAAAATAAAAAATAAAACTACAAGTTATAACGTGCCTTTGTTTATTGAAGGGAAATTACTTGANGCATTTGATTCTTATAGTTATTTATTACTATTTTAGTTGTCTTACTAAAAGAAAATCCTGCATATCCATCCATCACTGTTCTGTCCTAGAATTCCGTCGGGTTGAATATTTACTTCTGATCATTTTAGTTTACTATTATGAAGGTAAACGAAAAATAAAAAATAAAACTACAAGTTATAACGTGCCTTTGTTTATTGAAGGGAAATTACTTGATCTTCACCTTCAGCTTTTTAAACATAACTATAACCAAGTTTCATACACCGCTAGCCATTCAGATTGAACGTCACAAATATTCACTCTTTGTTACAAATAGTGGATCGTAAATAGGAGTCTAAGAAGAAATGATTAATGGCATGCATGTTTGATTAAACACAACTGCAAGGTGATTTGTTTCCGATCGAAATGAGTTGATTCTGCATGAGCAAAATTACCTTCTATTATTTCAATTTTCAACCCTTTCAATATCTACACTACTTCAACTAGAGGTGGAACTGGTTCTGGGTTCTGTTGAGTGTTGATTTTGAATGTCACAGAAAATGGAAACAGTAGGAGGGAGTGATGAAGCCAGTTGAAGAAGTGCACAAACACACTCCAGAGCTTCGCATAAGTCATAACGGGGAGGCATGATAATGATAAACAAATAGGCCACACAGAAAATTGATGGTGACAAAATGACAGAGGCTAAGATTGACATAACCAAGATAACCGAGAAATTTCTGGTTCGCAAGCGAATAGGATTGGCATCGAGAGGGAATTTGATGGATGTGAAGAGAAAGAGTAATAGTAATAAAATGGCAAGAAAAATGAAAAGAATCTTGAAAAGCGGATACTGAAGAATCTCCAAGGGCGCTGTAGCATCACCTAATTGAGATGTTAAGAAGAGAAACAAGATAATATTTATAAATACCTCAAATTTGTGAAGAAATGCATGTTCTTCCCATAATGAGTTAATTGCTGTGAGGGTACTCAGAGTCGAAATTCGTATGTTTATATGGTGAATAAGTTGGAGGAAGAAGGAAAAGACATTATTGCATTCGGCTATGGGCGGAATAGTCTATAGTTGGGTATTTAGACGTTAGGGGTGTTTTGGATTACAAAAATAATAAATAAAATACAACAAACTAATTAAATTACATATGACTTGAATTTAAACAAAATTTCATCTTCCTGTTAGATTCATCGTTGGAAGCGCTTGTTTCAAGAATAGTAAATTCGTTGATGTCTTCTCTATTGAATTCTTCACCATGGATTCTGATTAGTCTGGAGAGTCAAGCCGCGGTCTTCCTCTAGAGGTTGGTTCAAGGAAGTATCTCGTTGCACTTGCATGACAAATAACAATCAAAGGAAATTAAGGACGACTTTAAAAAAGATTTTGATGCGAGAGCCAAGTTAATCCAATAAATCACGAAACTGTTAATTAAAATGCTGATTTTAAGCCAAAAACCCCAAAAAATATATACTGAAACAGTTAAGTGATCATAGGTGTGTGCTAATTGGAACACATTAAAATCCTTAATATATAATTGTTGAGTCGGGTGATCATAGGTATGTGCTAATTTTTTTATCCAGCCTGCCCCACAAAACGCATCTAAAAGCTTTTCTCTATCAGATAGGTCTAAAATCGCGTTTGAAAATTGTATGTTTTGGGAGGAACAAAAATATCTGACTAACACAAGTCCAGAAATATAAGCTTCTTCACGTCTACTAAAAAAATTTCATAATCATTATGACAAAGATATATATATGTAATTCCATGCCCGACTGCTGTATATCGCATAGATTAAAAAAAAAAAAAAAAATTTGTGTGAGTTGTAAGAAGTTTTGAAGAAAAACTAGTCAAAATTATTTTGGTGACAAGGTTTAAAATAAAAAAATATATTTTATATATGATATGTATTGATAGATATTGTTTCATCAAGTATTCCAATGAGGAATTAAATATGTAGATGCGTGGTTTTGATACCAACGACTCGCACGTACACTCGAGTCTTTCAAACACTTCACGATCACACAGATTCCTAGAGACAATAATTCTATCGCGGATGCCCTGACAAGAATAGCCTCATAGCTGGACTCAGATGCCTCGGAAAGTATTCCTGTTCGGTACATAGAAATCCCTAGTATCAGCTCGCCCGAACAGACCGTGGTCACAATTGAATCAGTTTCTTGGATGAGCTGGGGACCTTGCCCAATGACAAGGCTGAGGCAAGAACTCTACTAACCAGAGCTGCTCGTTACACACTCGTAGGAGATAAATTGTACAGGCGAGGATTTAGCGCCACTTTTCTTCGATGTGTAACCGACGAGGAAGCAGACTATATCATGAGGGAGATACATGAAGGGATCTACGATAATCACACTGTCGCGCGATCCCTCGCTAACAAAGTTGTTCGTCAAGAGCACTACTGGCTAGAGGTGGAAAAAATGGGCCGGGTTAGGCGGGTCAACCCTAACCCGGCCCGTAATGAAGAGGGTTCAACCCGGCGGGCCGGGTTGAGCCCAACCCGCTAGCAACCCCCTGGACGGGCTGGGTTGCAAAATGGCAACCCGGCGGCCCGCGGGTTGCTATTTTGTCCTCTCTACAAGAGGACCGCAACCCGGCGGGTTGCACAGCCAACCCGCGGGTTGGCTGTTGGCCAAAAAAAAATAAAAAAAAAAATGTAAAATTTATTTATTTTTTTCAATTACCCTTTTACCCTTGAAATATAGCCGTTGTATAGCCGTTGGAGGGGTCTTTTTCGTCATTTTCTTTCCCCATTTTTTTCTATAAATTGGCCCTAAACTCTCATATTTTTCTCACAACTCAAATTCTCTCATTTTCTCATATTCTCTAATCTCTATTCTCTCAATTATTCATTTATTCTCTTAATCTTTTTGTTATCAATTTGCTCTTATTTTAATTTTTATTAGTTTTTGCAATTTTCAATTCATATTTCCAATTTTCCAAATTCCAAATTTCCAATTTCCATATTCCAATTCTCTTTCTTTAATTTTTATTTCTTCTACATCAATTTTTTTTTCAACTACAAGTCTACAATGGATAGATATTTCTCTCCCATCAATTTCAATGATGAAGAAAACTATTATCCTAGTCCTAGTCCCGCTGATTTTACTATGAATGCAGGAGATTCAAATAGTCCCGCTGTCCCAATCCCAGTCTCAGAATCCGATACACCTCAAAATATGCCGTCGATTCCAACAGCGCCCGGTGGTTCTAGAAGTCGTCCTCGTAATCGTCGTCCTCGTCCAACTTCATCTCAAGCTGAGGCGGGATCATCAACTGCCGTCGAAAGCGAAAACAGACACACATCAGACGTTTGGGCGCATTTCGACAAGTTTTACGAGACAGAAAATGGCGTTCAAGTCAAGAAAGCAAGATGCAAATATTGTGCAAATGTTTATAAAGCTGATTCAGGTAATGGTACTAGTACTTTAAAAAGGCATGCTAATAAACATATTAATCAACATGGAAATAGAGAAAGCAATCAAACTCAAATAACTAATATGGGTACTACTTGGCGTTATAATTCTGATGTATATAGGGAACAGTTAGCTTTATATATTGCTGCATCTGATCAACCTATTAATATGGCAGAAGATAAATATTTTGAAAGATTTGTTCAAAATTCATTTTTTCCAGGATTTAAAAGTTATTCTAAAACTGCAACTAGAAATGATTTAATAAAATTGTTTAAAAAAATGAAATTAGAATTAAAAAATAAATTTCATACTTGTCATATTAGTGTGGCTTTAACTGCTGATATTTGGAGTGGTAGAGCTAAACAAGATTATATTTGTGTGACTAGTCATTATTTTGATAATGAATTTAAATTAAATAAATCTTTATTAGGATTTAGATTAATGGATGTGGATCATAGTGGTTTAGAAATCTATAATAAAATTATTGAAGTTTTAGAAGATTATGATATTATTGATAAAGTGATAAGTTTAACTTTAGATAATGCAAGTTCTAATAGTAAAGCTATAGAATTTTTTCAAAATAATTATCTTTTATATAATAATTTGAAGTTTTTTCACCAACGTTGTGCATGTCATGTTATTAATTTAATTGTGAAAAGTGGTATGAAAACAATTAAAAAAAATATTGATAGAATTAGGGAATCTTTAGCTTGGATTACTAGTAGTAATAAAAGAAATGCTGAATTTCAAGAAGCTTGTATAAAATCAAA